TTATTTTGTAGGGTTGTGGTCTGTTAAATTAAACTTGCTTCATGTTGAAGTTTATCAAAATTTAGAAAGAGACACTTTGATTTTGTTACATGAATGTGTAAATTATTCCACGCAGCTTTAATTGAGAGTTTGCTTAAATTAATTTCCTTGCATGTGTTTCTGTTGGATCCTTTTTGTTGTAGTGTTGTTAGAGTTGCTGGTGATGCCCTATTTGTGGTCTGATCTCTGTGCTGCGCGTGTAGGGCCATAAGGTAGGAGAGGGTCAATGATTGTAATATTGCACCCTGGTAACATGCTTTTGATTTACTGAAAATGAGTTTATTTATCATACAATACAAGTTTAAAGTTGTAACACAAGTACAAATTTCAAATAAAGCGCATACTCAACATTTTGTCTGTCCTGACTTTCTGTGATGCTTTTGGTGTTAATTATTACAGAGTAACAACATTATTTCTTGTGTAGTTTGGTGTAAATAAGCTCTTGTAAATTTTTCGGACTTCAAATTTTGGTTGTCTTTGAAAAATGTACTCATCCTGATTTATAATGGTAATAGGACTGAGTAAAATACAATTCGGTCTGTAATCATACAAGCAATTAACAAAATTGGACGAATGCCAAGCTAGAGTGCAATTTGTTAAATACGAGTATGATAACAGACAGAATTGGATGGCATGAAGTCCTGTTACCAATTAATCAAAACTATAACATGATTTGATAAAGAAATTAGACATTGATTATACATGTTAGAAAATTTAAGAAAAAGAATAAAGAAAAAACTAGTTAACTTGGCGAAATGAGAGACAACAGTGCCTGCACATGAGGTGTTCTGTCCACTTACACAGGCATGATGTGTTAACTGTCCCTTCAACTGTCCTATTATGCTGTCTAATAACAAGCATGACATGTACACAGTCCTATTAGTGCTCAAATTAGGCTGGTGATAAACAATCGCGTTTGAAAAATTTGTTATAGTTTTGATTAACAGTGAATTGTGCTTGACATGTCATTACCTATGCTAAAAGAATTCAAGTAGTTTTTTTTTTTTTTTGGTCCTACAGAGACAAATTTTAGAGATACGTTTGTATCTGTTTCAGCCTCTATTTGTTTCAGGCTTTCGTCACCTGTCATCCAGTGATTGATTGTGTCTAACCCCTTACAATGTTTTATTGCTTGACTGTATAATATTAATAATAAAGCTAATACTTATAACATGCATGTATTCAGTTTCATATGCTCACTTAAGATATTGCTGTTGATAGCTCTGCTCTGGAGAATTAGCCAAGGGTTGAAAACAAGCTGGCTACTGCCAGAGTTCTGCTGGCCACTTGGTAACATGTTGCCTGCTGCTCTGCTCAAAATAATAACCTTTAATGCCCATAACCCTTCAACTCTCAGAAGTGTTTAACATGTAACTTCTCCCTACAATATCCATACCTTATCCAGAAAAGAGATATTGAGAATACTCAAACTTATCATTGAGGTGGAGATTGTTGTCTCAATCTAACACCAAATTCTCATAACTAGGTTACAGGGAGATTTGTAGTAGCTACAGGGGAGAATTAACAATCAGATCTTGGGAGTTAAAGGGTTAATGAACTTTTCTTAGTCACCTACTTCTTCAAAGATCTGATGCCTACTTCAAAACATTTTGAAACCCCTGATTAGGAGGGTTGTTAAATTACTACAGATAATTATAAACATTACAATTTCCTCAAATGTGATTGGTGCATTAGCTCTTCATTTTTCACTTATTCTTCTTCAGAGTTGTAATTGGACAGTAAGCTGTCACTGGACATCTGTAATCAGACAGCTAAAGCAGCCAATCATACCAAGTCCACTCAGCTTAATCCTTGAATCACAGAATTGATTACAATAACCATAGCAACAACCACTTAATTGCCCTACAAACAATTTTTCTCTTTAGAAAATGTCTCTACCAGAGATATCTTCTCAAATAAATGTTACTCTTTTTTTTTGTTTAAATTGTGATGGTTATGATTAATTGGTAACAGGATCTTGTGTAATCGAGGTTGGTCTGTAATCATACTTGTGATTGACATATTAAACTCCATTGAAACTCCACTTGCTGCCTTTACTATTATTTATTGCAGTCCATTTGTTGGCAGAA